AGCCTCTCAGTCCATGGAGATGCAAAACACGTTTGACTGTGGACAATGACACCTGTGTTCCAGCAGCTTCTAATTGTTGGCAGATCTGCTTTTTGGTGATTCTTGGTTCACTCTTTACCCTCCTGACCAATTTTCTCTCAGCAGCAGGTGATTGCTTGCGTTTTCTTCCTGATCTTGGCAGTGATGAAACAGTGCCATGCACCTTATACTTCCAAACAATTGTTTGCACTGTTGCTCTTGGGACCTGCAGCTGCTTTGAAATGGCCCCAAGTGACTTTCCTGACTTGTTCAAGTCAATAATTCGCTTTTTCAGATCCATGCTGAGCTACTTTGACTTTCCCATTGTAGCGTTTGTGGGCGTTTGTATCCAATGAGCCCTATTTACCGGGCCTAAGAGAAGTCACCCGCTGTAGTCACTCATAATCACTCACAAGAAGTTAAGAGGCCATGCTATGAAGCTCAGTTCACTGACAAGTTTCTAAGTCACCAAAATTGCTAGTTCATGTTGCTGTATGTATATTTGTGACCCAGCAAATGTGATCACTTTTCTCTGTTAACCCATAATAAAGACATTAAAGAACCAATCTTCATGAATGTTTTTTGTAACAAAGAAGTATCTGTTCCAATCACTCTATCAGAGAAAAATCAGAGTTTTAGAAATAACGGGACACTCAGTAGAGCCATTATAAAAACACACCTCCTCCGCTTGGCGTTTCCAGAACATGTTTGATTTTGGCCCTCTTTTATGTTGAATCCATTCCACAGTTTTCATTGGTACACTCAATCCAAATGTGTTTCACACTTTTGTATTTTACCGGAATGTTTCATCTATCTTGTAATTTCCATTTTGTATTTTGTAATTTGAATTTCTTTTATTGTTGATTTATTCAATATATTTACTTACAACTGTACCATGTTCAGCGCTTTGGGCTTCCTGACAGGGTTGCAGAAGGCGCTTTATAAATAAAGCTTTGATTGATTGATTGATAAATAAGACACGCGGGTTGTGGCAGTTAGTCAAAATAATGTCAGATAAGTGTTTTCTTTTGGCCTCTCTCACAGTTCTTTGATAGTGACGCCAACAGTCCTTCAGCATCTGAAATGACACCTGTAGTTTGTCCTTTTTCCATTTGCGCTCAGCCCGACGGCAGTCGCGTCTGACAACTCGGGTCATGTCTTTCAGCCAAGGCTCAGATTTAGTTTTAGGCAGCCTGGTTTTTAATGGAGCCACAATGTCCAAAGCAGTCCGACAGGTGGACTCAAACCAAGAGCTCAGTTCCTCAGTCTGGCTGCATAAAAGATCCGGGATCTGACAAATCTGGTCAAAGACTGTTGAAAAGTGCTCAGCAGTGGAGGAGTTCAAAACACGACTGCGCTGAGCAACAGCACAAGGTTTAACTGAGACACATGCAAGAGGAACTTCAAACATCACAGGACTGTGGTCAGAAAACACAGCATCACAAATCTCTATTTTAAAACTAGAGAAGCCATGAGATAAAACAAGATCAAGTGTCTGTCCACGTTCATGTGTGGGACCTGTCACCCATTGCACCAGATTGAACGAATCAATAAGGTTTAAAAAGCCCCTCGCTATAGGCATATCAGGACAACACACATGAATATTAAAATCACCAACAATAAGAATACGATCATATTTTGGCATGAATTCAGCCAAGAAGTCAGCAAAATCATCCAAAAAGTCCTTATTGTATTTTGTAGGGCGATAAACCACCACACACAACACTGTATGAGTGCACCCCAGCTCAAACACAGACAGTTCAAAGCTGGTAAGCGACGGGGCTGGTAGCTGTTTACATCTAAAATGACTTTTAAAGATAGTGGCTGTTCCTCCTCCTCGGCCCAACAAACGCGGGGAATTAAAATAGCAGCAATCGACAGGTAGAAGATCAGAGAAGATGCTGCACTCACCGGCGCTCAGCCACGTCTCGCACACACAGAGAAAATCGAGTCCTCGGGATGTACAAAAATCCTTCAAAATAAATGTTTTATTCGCTAGGGACCTAGCATTTACCAGGCCAAACCTGGCAGTAAGCGGCGGGTCCCCATCACTAGCCGTCATAGAAGCCCGACACAGAGGCCACAGGTTACACGGATTCACACCACGCTGGCGGGAACGAGGAGAGCAGGGTTTTCGGGACTGGGGCGTCCCATCCAGGCCAAAGACAGGTACCAGCCAGGCACAGACAGGATCCAACGATCGTCGAGAGAAGCGGAGGGTAGGCACCGCTCCTTGTTTTCTAAATAAGGGCTCGTGAGAACAGCAAAAAGAAGCTTTCAGCTTCACCAGGAAGCCGGCCCGGTGACCCCGGTGATGGTACTTATGCCGGAGAGGTGGATCTGGGACACGGCACAGGTGAGCAGGGATCTCCGATATTAGCGGGGGCAAAGTTTTATGTCCAGCTTGGTTCCATTTCGCCCAGCTTTTGGCAGAAGTTCGGAGATCCAGTAGGGATAGGCGATCATATACCAAGAGAGAGTTGGCATTTCCTACAATAGTCAATAAAATCAAAACAAACAAACATAACACTGGTAGTGACAGACGGCAAGCCATGAACACCGGCGCCATCTTGATCTTGATCCACCATATACACCCACTCTGTTTATTTCAATGGCGAGTCAAGTTTAAAAAGTTAAGAAATGTATTACTAAACAATTTAAACATGACAATTTATGAAAGCTTTGGTATTAAAACTTTGGTATTAAAAAGCAACCCTTTGTTTGGATGGATCTAAGGTGGAGTGTGTTTGTTTGCAGGTGAATGCAATGTATCATAAAGTGTATCTTGGAGAGAGGAGCATTCTGGGTAAAAAAGAATTTGGTTTGCGAATAGCTAAGTTGTTCTTATTAAAGATCATCCAGGCGCAATCTGTCGGAAGTTTCTACCTCACCGTCAGACGACCCTCTGGTTGATCCAGAGGTCAAGGGAGGTTGTTGTTCAGCCTCAGGGTACTCGGTCCGGTAGGAAGACCAGTGGTACCAACTCTCTGGTCCTAGAGATGCTGCATGCACACAGGTGGAATTGGTTGGCATCTGAGCAAATTCTTAAGGAAACAATATTAATGATGATGATAATAATAACGATAATAACAATATATTATGTAATAATATTTTATATAATAAAACATATAATATATATATAATATAATAGTAACAATAATAATAATAAAATAACAATATTAATGACGATAATAATTATACCAATATAATATATAAAACACACACACACACACACACACACACACACACACACACACACACACACACACACATATATATATATATATATATATATATATATATATATATATATATATATATATATATATATATATATATATATAAAATATAGCAACTACAATAATCATAATAATATTAATGATGATAATTATATTACAGGGTATCCGCGGGTCCTTAAAAAGTCTTAAAAAGTTTTAAATTTGCTTTTCAAAATTTAAGGCCTTAAAAATCCTTAAAAATTACAAATAATCCTTAAATACAGTTTCCAAAGGTCTTAAATTACCAAAGGCCCACTAAACAAGATTCTTTTATTTCTATAAAAATTCTGTGAATTTCTAGTCAGTGTTCAGGATTTTTTGTGTATGATGTTGGTGTAAGCGGAACTGTACACATTCAGTTGGTTGTGAAAGGGGGCTATTTTTAGATGAGCACATTAGCTGGTTAAGCTAGGGGGAGCTTGTGCCATGGAGAAGTTTAATGGCAACTGGATGGCTAATCCCACGTTCGTGATGTGGTTAGCACCGGTTCCAGGCAATAGCTGGAAATGATAGCTTAAATTTAATATTGAAAATAGCTTAAATTTGGTCAAAGTGGCATTAAAAAAGGTCTTAAAAAGTCTTAAATTTGGCTCCCTTAAACCTGAAGATACCCTGTATTAACTATACATATATATATATATATATATATATATATATATATATATATATATATATATATACACACTCAAAAATATAAACGCAACACCTTTGTTTCTGCTCTGATTTTTCATGAGATGGACTTAGATCTAAAAGTCTGTTACGGCATGTTTGGGATGTGCTTGACCGGCGTATACGACAGCGTGTACCAGTTCCCACTAATATCCAGCAACTTCACACAGCCATTGAAGAGGAGTGGACCAACATTCCACAGGCCACAATTGACAATCTGATAAACTCTTTGTGAAGATGTGTTGCACTGCATGAGGCAAATGGTGGTCACACCAGATACTGACCGGTTCTGAGTCCTCAGACCCCCAATAAAGCAAAAAACTACCCATTCCAGGGTGGCCTTTTATTGTGGGCAGTATAGGTACACCTGTGCACTTCTCATGATGTTGGATCAGCATCTTGATGTGGCACACCTGTGAGGTGGGATGGATTATCTCAGCAAAGCAGAAGTGCTCACTATCACACATTTAGACTGATTTGTGAACAATGTTTGAGAGAAATGGTAATATTGTGTATCTGGAATGAATTTTAGATCTTTAAGTCCATCTCATGAAAAATCGGAGCATAAACAAAGGTGTTGCGTTTATATTTTTTTGACTGCATATATGTATATACACATATACAACAACAATAAATCTCCCAAAATGCTAATTAGTAAGCTTTCTTTGCTTTGTAGTGCTCTAGCCTGCTGAGAGCTTAAAAGTGAAAGATTGTTACTGACAGCAGCTACATCTAAGTGTTTATTCATTTTCCTTTTGACTGAATAGTTGCTGATTTTATCTTGGAGACGTTTCTCCTCACATAAGCTTCAGATCTAAAGCTTGGGTTGTGAGTAGGAGGCTTAGAAGTTCTGGTCAGAAACAAACACGCTGATTGTGATGGAAGTTTTTATTGTTCCTAAAGTAGAAATCTGTTTTTATCTAAATGAAGTTCATGTTCTTGTTCCTTTTTCCCACATCATGTAGCCAGTATCACTCATGGTGTACATATAAAGGTATGGTGGTCTGTAACATCATGTGTCTGTGTTTCCTACAGATGTTCCACAGCTGGCGCTGGTTAAAGAAGAAGCTCCTGAAGAACAGAGTGCTGGTGTGGACCAGCAGGACCCAGAACACCTCCACATAAAGGAGGAACAGGAGGAGCTCTGGACCAGTCTGGAGGGAGAGCATCTCTGTTTGAAGGAGGAGACTGAAGCTGTCGGGTTTCCTGTTACTGCTGTTTCTATAAAGAGTGAGGATGATGAAGAGAAACCTCTGGTCTCACAGCTTCATCAGCAGCAAATAGAAGACAGAGATGTTCCAACCAGCAGCTCAGCTGACCAGATGGCAGCAGAAACTGGTGGAGGAGCAGGAACTAGCAGGAACCCAGATCTGACCCCTCATGAACAAACATCTGATTCTTCAGAGACTGAAGTTAGTGGAGATGATGATGATGATGATGATGATGATGATGATGATGATGGTGTGAATCTGGACTCTGAGCTGTCAGACTCTGGGTCTGAAACTGGAGATGAAGATGATGACTGGAATGAGAGCAGGTCTTCTGAGTCAGATGGTAAGTCTGTCAACAAGTTCTTCACAAGTGGTCTCTCCAGAGACACGTGAGGGAGACAAGTCATCCAGCAATAAGGTCTTCAGGCTGTTTGGTTCATAAGAAATGTGTTAGAGTGAAGCAACATTTACACTCGTGCAGGAAAGTCCAGAAGAAACCTAAATCATTTAGTCATGATGAGTGTGGAGAAAGGTTTACTACAAATGTAAATAAACAAATCACATGAGAGTCCACACATAGCAGCTGCTGTTCCAGAGTATGGGCCAGCCTCATCCCACCCATACTCTGCTTCTGGCCGCTAACAAGATGGCGCCTGTGTTTGGAATAGCCACAGGTCCGTTTCCACATTCCCACATGTGCGTGCAGCATGATCACGCTACCCCCATTGACCAATCAAACCTTTTGTGGGTTTTCTTTCACAAGTCCATTATTTGAGATAGCCACCGGAGCTACATAAACGGCGACCGCTCCATCCGCCATCCTGCTGCATTTCGGCAGCTGAGCTCGGCTGGCACCAGCGTCGCACTCACACATGGCTTCTCTCACCACTTGTGGTGCATTCAAGGAACATTGGAACTCTATGATGAGTTCAATAACGTAGCACATTTAAAACTTTTATAAAAAAACAGAATAATACTGTAAGTCATTGGCAGTTTGCATGTAACGTTTCTGAATACTAAATACGACCTGCTTCTTCTTACACAAAAGTACTAAAAACAACAAAACCAAACAAAAACAATATAAATATATTATCTTTTAGGTCAATATATAGCACTGAATCACAACAGAAGAATACATCTCAAGGCACTTGAAAACTACAAGAGAAAATTCATTTTAATTCAATCATACATACATTCCTATCAATTTAATATTTTTGTGTTTACGAGTTCCATTCTCTTCAGACAAAATAGAAATATTCCTTACATTTTTTTGAGCTATCTTTCCATGATGTTTTAAAGGCTGCTGTTTTGTATTCTATGGGGTTTTTATTTTAATAAAGTATTAAAAAAGAAATTAAATAATTTTTTAAATAAAATCACGTGTTTTTTTTAATTTACTCTACAAGACCGGTGACGTCATCACACAAACCAGATGACGTCATTGCATCGTATGCAAATTAGCACGTGACATCATTTGGCGACATCTAGTGACTTTTGGGGGAACTTCAGCTACTTTCAGTCAAAAACAGTTGGCAACACTGCCAAAAATTGCAATCGGGCAGAAGCTCAAGGCAACTGCCCCGAGTTTCTGCTCTCAAGATTTTATAACAAAGATAAGACTGTGTGTGTGTGTGTGTGTGTGTGTGTGTGTGTGTGTGTGTGTGTGTGTGTGTGTGTGTGTGTGTGTGTGTGTGTATGCTTTCAGTCATGGAATAATATATTCAGTTAATAATAAACATAACATTTCCATAACATAATCCCTCCTGTTTATCCGAATAGGATAACCAAACAAAAACAAAGTAAAGAACAAATAAAATAATAAAACACGATAAGACAAACACAACTGACAATAACAAACAGCAGCTTACAGAGACACAAGTGAGATAATGGAAATCAGTGAAATCAACACCATCATAAACTAAAGAAGAGCTATTTCATACATGTTGATGTGAATTTACTGTGATGCAACAATTCTACAATTTAGAGCAGTTCCTGTAAAGAGATTGGGAAGGATTAGCAAGACCATATAATACACAGAAAACATCAGTAGAGTTTATTGAAACATCAGATGAATTTAAAGCTACAGGTCGCACACGGCTGTTTCTGTGAATGAGGAACAGGTAGTATCAATTCATGCAGCTCTAACTATGGCAGAAGCTGAGGCAAACCAGGCGTTCTTCATCAAAGGGCTTGTCCGTGGACTGAGAGTCCCGGTTGAAGAACGGTTTGGAACGGTTAGAGTCCTCGTCCGTTGATCAGGATGGTTTCAGTCTTAAGTTGATGAGTTCCTTGAAGTCCAGGTCTGGAATGCAAGAATGGAGTTTGGGATGTGAGAGCGCACAGTTCAACTTCTCAGTAGGGAGACGTCTGGGTCCTTCCAAGGAGTGTTGAGGTGGTTGACCACTATGGCTGAACGATTAATTGCATATAGGGCTGCAACAAACGATTATTTGGATAATCGATTAATCGGATGGGGTCTCGACACGATTAATCGATTAATCGGATTACATGGGGAAATTTTAAAAAACTGCTAGGGAAACGTTATTTCTCTCCTTCCTTCACTTTATTTAACACAACATTATTAGAAAACAGTTCAATAGCAGAAAAACAACATGCCATCACCTAAATTGTCTTATAAGGTGTATAGACAGAGACCCTAAGCTACATCTATCTGTGACCTAAAATGCTTGGTCCAAGTTAAACAGCTTAAGGGCAATTCTCATCTGTTTTGTTTGATCTCATCTGTTGACATTTATTTTAAATGTAATTAAACATAGGCTGTGAATTTATCAAAATTGATCACTATTTCCAAAAATGACTGAAAAAATACCAAATAAAACAAAAGTAAATGAATGCCATCCTCCTTGCGATGATGCCCTGGGCAACTGCCATAAAGTCACATCAAGAAATGCTGCTGATCATTCCAATGATCCCAAATAGACTCACATTAGGCCACATGAAAGCAACTGAACCCAAAAATATATTAACCAGTATATAACTGCACTCTCACACAACACGCCTGCAGCAACAGTTAGGACTCCTCCCTCCCTTTTAAAAGCGTTTTTGCTTCTGAGGACATTGTGGTTGTAAAACCACATGCTAGTAGTCTGGCCCCGGTGTGATCAACCAGTTTCTGCGGGAATGTGACGGCGGAACCAGGGCCAGATTAACACTTTGTTGTACCCTGGGCAACAATATTCAAGGGCTCCATCATCACGACCCAAGGATCACCATAATGTGGTCACATACAGAATATTTTACTGTAATATGCAGTAAATATACTCAATACTTGAATGCCTGACAACACGTAACCCGCCCAGAGTAACCTTTGACCCACCTCGTGTGGACTGACCAATGAGGAGAGGGTCTTAACTTGAGGCCCTCTCTTCATTGGTCAGTCTGCATGAGACTGACTCTCAACTGACGTTCAGTCGTAGGCAGCGAAGCGTCTCTGTGCAGTGCAAAAGCCCGGGTGGACAGTTTGTTTAATGTAGGGTGACCATATTTCCATTTCCAAACAAGAGGACAGGGGATCTGTGCCTATGACGTCACACTATGGCAACGCCACACAAACCATGTTGGGACCCATTTTTTGTAAGAACTAAATTAATATCAGATTCTGCCAATTAAAGGGCTCTAAAACAATTCATATGTAAATATTTTGCATATTTAATGCAAAATCTAATTTTTCTGCTTTAGTGCTGCAACAAGGTTTTATTAATAATAAATTATTATACCTTTTGTTTTACTACAGCATCGGTAAGCTTCCTGTGCACAGATTATTAAGGATGCTTGTTTCAACTGTGAGATTAGACGATAGGATCAATGAAAAAATAAGTTGTCACAAACTCCATGGAAACTTTCAGAGAATCCACAAATAGTGGCTTTCAAATGGTTTTGTTACTTTTTGCAAGTTTATAAAATAAGCAGATGAGACAGCATGTCTGATAATTTAGTTTTTCATCTGATAATATTAGAGCATGTCAGTAATGTCTGAGGGGCTTTTATAAACACCATATAACTAACACTACTGGAGAGGGCATGAATTACACAGAGGCTTCTGGGGAGCCCAGTTATTGGGGGGGGGGGGGGGGGGGGGCATTTTGCCTTGGCCCCCAAAATGTCTTGAAACGGCCCTGGGTGTGTGACTGAGTTTTGAAGGTGATCTGAATTGTATCAGATGTATAAATATGACATGTGTATAACTTATTGTTTTTTACTGGTAAAAACGTGTAGTGGAGATAAATCTACCTACATTTTACTTTTCAACACTTTGTTTTGTTTTCTTGTTTTTATTGAACTATTTTCCTGTCCTGTCTGTCTCTCATCTTCCTGCATCTCCTCTTAATTCTCCAGAAAACCTGTTGCCTGGATTCTTACCTTTTCACCTCATCAGTTACTTTTGAGCAGGTCAAAGGGATCTCCTGACCGAAAAGCGCAGAGCGCGTTTTCGATGCTGCGTGAGGTGACATCACCACAGCACAGGTGATGAGCTCCGCAGTAGCGCGCTTCAGGCACAAATAAGACAGAAAATAGAGAACATGTGCGGACATGAACGATCGTGTGCTAATTATAGTTTTTGGGTTGCGCCACTTTGAGAATGGACCGTGCGCTGGAAGCAGCTGCCTGGATCGCTGTGCAACAATGCGGAACCGGTTCGCAGCAGCTCAAGTCTGCCGGCTCTCCCTCGCGCTGATCTGCCTGTACCGGCTCTCCCTCACGCTGATCTGCGGCTCTCCCTCGCGCTGATCTGCGGCTCTCCCTCGCGCTGATCTGCGGCTCTCCCTCGCGCTGATCTGCGGCTCTCCCTCGCGCTGATCTGCGGCTCTCCCTCGCGCTGATCTGCCGGCTCTCCCTCGCGCTGATCTGCGGCTCTCCCTCGCGCTGATCTGCGGCTCTCCCTCGCGCTGATCTGCGGCTCTCCCTCGCGCTGATCTGACTTGCTCTGGTCTGCGCGCAACGGCGGGCGGGAAGGGGGGGCGCTTTTGGAAGAGTTGTGCGACACAACGAATCGATGACGCAATTCGTTGCCAACGCTTTTAGTAATCGATTTTCATCGAATTTATCGATTCGTTGTTGCAGCCCTAATTGCATATACAATTAAATAGCGATGTGACAAAAGGAGATTTTCTAATCGCAAAGGCTGCAATTTGACTGGCAGTGATTGGTTAGCACAATTCTATTATACATTGAAAAAGCCATAGGGATGCTAATGCTAATATTGCCGATTACATTCTTACAAATTACGAATTAGGAACGTGCCAAATTATTACATTTGGAGTCTAATAAAAAGTAAAAACTGTTATTCATCAAATAAGTATAGACCGATATTTTAGTAAAGCT